AGGATTTATCCTTACTCCTCGATTACTTTGCAGAAGCTTTAGTCATATATAATATGTGTGTAGTTCCCTTCGATGTTCTATCTTCTGACCTTGCAATTTTATCCTGCTTCATCTGTTATAATGTAGCGTTTCTTATCAGAAGTTTATCACTTGATTTTATTAACATTACTACTATTATAATTGTCTTATCATCTTTGACTGTATGTATAATCTACACTACAACATACTTTTACTGCACACACTATATGGAAACCAGTTTCGGGACATCGGTCCCGCACTTAGGTGTTTTGATTTTATTCGGATTTCATAGGTGTATGGTTCAAACAACCTTGGTACGGTCACCATTTTGTCTAGCACTTCTCATATTGGTATTTATTTTACTATGTTTTAGTTCCCATTGCGAAGGTTTGACTTTATAATTTCAAATAAGTTGGAGGTTGAGCTGATCATTTGTGCTAACAAAATAATGGAATGTCATGAATCCTGAAACTACACAGAATTAAATCGTTCTATATAACAACTAGCACTCTTCGAATAAAAGGAAAGATCTCTTTTACTTCTGCATAAAGCTGTATTTAAAAACTATGTTTAAGTGTTTTATAGGTCACAAAGTCTTCTAAAGAATATCTAAACTACACAAAAAACCTTATAGTTCTATAGAGCTGAGAAATTAACCGATCGAATCAGCATTAGTATTAGATGCTTATTTCGAAGCCATCAAGTCGATATTAAAAATATCAAAATTCAAAAAATTCCTTCTAAATATAAAGAAAGACTGGCTGTTGAAGCTTTGTTAAACGCCACAACTAACAATAGGAGGGAAGACTTAACTATTCAGCGAACTTCGACCGTTCATCCAAACAATTGCATGTAAATTTGTTCATTTCTTATATAATAAACACATGCTAATTCTGCTCTATTCTTTCAGATTTAAAAAGTATTGCATTTTTCACACACTTGCATACACACACAATCATGTCTAATACAAAATCACCTTGACCGAAATCTCGTTACACTGGTACGATCAGACTTAGTTTAATCGTACCAAATATTCTGTCTTGTCCCTCTGCACTGTTTGAGTTCAGTCAGTCAGTCAGTTACAACGTAGGACCAGGTACATATATGAATCGGTCCAGGTTGCCATACCTCATTAGCACAGCAAGATGAACACCGGATTCATAGGAGTGGTTAGGTTAAAGGTGGTAATATATAGGAGAAAGATTGCATATAAGGACACAGTACCGGAATATAGAATTAGTTCGTAGAAAGAAAGATATGAAGCAATTTTAATCTCTTAGTTTAAGGGAAGACATATAGTGTATAAACCGACGCCATTGTGAACGCCGGAGACGGATATCCGTGGGATAAGGCGAGATATGCATTTTTAGGGTCGACCTTTTCTAACCCCACCCCTCCTTGTAGGAAGGCAGCATCGCTGTCATGCTGGTTGTCTGAAGGAAACACCTTACTGCTATCAGACCTCTGTACAGTCAGCAGTACGACTTCGCCTTCGGACCTCGGGTTTGTTGCTTTTAGTCTTACTGCTCTTCAACCGACCTGTCTGACGTGGTAGGACCTTGAGGAACGGTTGTTCCAGCCAGCATAACTCGGTTGCTTCATCACGATAGGCAAGCCCGACCACCACGTCAAGGTAGAAACAACGGTCGGGACTGTTCGTGTTCGCGTGAGCTTGATTCGGCCACTTAATTGTTTTTTGAAAGAGACACGAAACGTCAAGAACTCAATTTCTTACTCACTAAAGTACCACAAATATGTGGACTAACTTTGCTTACATTTAAAGTGAGTTTTAAAATCTTATTTGTCTAGAAGTGGGACTTATTTATTGGTTTAGTCTTTTGACTCCGGACTAATTAGTTACGTGTACAAAGCCTCTCGATCTCAACTTGAAAACGTCTCTTAATCTACTCAATCGTAACTAGTTGCCAACACCTTCATGGATTTATGCCTATTCTTAATCCGTCACTTATTGACGTAGCAATTTAAGGTAGGTGTAAGCTTTTGTGTGACTCGTGCAACCGTTCTCTGAAAAAATCCATTTCACTTTATATATATATATATTCTGCTTTATATTGTCAAATATAATATGATTTTTCAGTTCCATTGATTGCTACTGCATTACTTTTAAAATTACACTAAATACTTGAGCTCATTAGTAGAGCCGGTTACTGTAGTTATTTATCGCAATTTTTAGTGTTGAATAAAGCATGCTAATAAGTCACCTTCATAAGCACCACAAGACTCTGATTTTTACATGTATTGAAATTCATGTGTTTATTATTAGTAGTAGTGTTGTCAAATAAGATCGCGTTCCAATTTGTATTCTTTAATAAAATGTGTAGAGGCTACACTATATCTGTCTCTCACATCACTACGTTAAAGCGGTTACATCAGCAAGAATAGTATAGTTTTGTTGGAAATTGCATATAAAAATAATACTACGCATAATTATTTTATGATGGCACTTTGCGTTTATCCAAACAACCAAGTATAATTTCATACTTTCTATAAAAATGTGTGGTTAATTATTTAACATGTCTGCTTATATTAACTTTTTACTGTTTGTATAAAATCTTCAGTATTGTGATGTGACTCACTCCTCTCTTCTATTTTTTATTTACAACTAGGAGTCTCTCACGTACCACGGGGACAGCAATTAGCTCACACATTGAAGTGTAACTGATGTATATATTGTACAGTATTTGTGGTGTTTTGTTAGTTAAAACGTGTTAGTGTTGCTTCATGAATAAAATGGTTTAATTTTTCAGTTTAAGGACTTATCACTGATCAGTTTTGTTTCGTTCAAGTTGCGATTAAAACGTGTCAAACGTTGGAGGACAAATCTATGTTAAGTATATTTATTGTAATACAGTTCTATTTGTGGTATCTTTTTGCCTACCTCTTGTTCTATACTTAATTATTGAAACTGACTTGTGAGTCTTATTGTTAGTGAACGTAATTCCATGCAGTTTGTTCATTCAATCCTGAAACCTGTTTATAACCCGTCACTAAATAGGATTTACTATGACTCAAACGTAAACGTTTTCCGAACAGGTAAGTTCGCATGACAAAATTCGGTTCACAATCTCACACACTATTTCGGAGAATTGTGAATATTCTTAGGGTTTGGGGTTAATCCATTAAGTGCGTTTGTTACAGTGTAAGGCTTACAAATTCCCTCACAGGTTACGGCGTAAACTTGACTATTAGCAGTTCGGGTGCACGACTTTGGTTTCATTATATTTTTTGAGTTAGATAATTCGATTGTAGGTTTTTCGTTTTCTTGTCGCTTCATCCTATAGCATAAGCGAGCAAATGTAACCCCCTAAAACAAATGACTGCCGCGCACGGGATATTAATTCGGACAAAGTGTATGTCATCTGATAAAAGCAAGGAACTAAAGAAGGGCACCGATCTAGGTCTTAGGTGACTTCAGGTTTATTAATGCGGGCATCAGTTTGTCAGAAAAATTATGCGCCTAACATGTCGCTCGACCCATTATACTAATCCTCAGAGTGAACTGAGTTAGCGTGGTTTTCGATGTCAAAGCTACATTGGTGTCTGGTGGCTAAACTCGTCTTTAGTGCGTATAGTTCAACAACAAAGATGGTCTGCGTTAAGTAATTTTAGGTCTACTCGAGTTACACAGGAATAATGTGAGCAATCAGCCAAAGTTGGAGTGATACCTCACGGTTATTATATGATTTGGATAACCAATTTGTCGTATCCAAGTGCAATAGCTGCTTTCGTGGCCGTATAACAAATGACGATATCACGTAAGACAGCAAGGAAACTGCGAGTTAATTGGCAGTCATAGCAACAAGCTATTGTTTCTACCAATTTCTAGTGGCTTGACATGTAGATCGATAAAATTGCTTTAGGTGTCATATAATAAAAAACCAAGTAAACCTTGAAAAATAAACTTAAGGTTTAGGGTATTCGTCAGCTTCTTGAATTACTTCATCTTAAGCGACGAACAATGGCATCACGAGGGTCCCAAAGATGCATTAAAAGAAATCAGAGCATAGAGAGTTTTTGCTAAGAAATATAAGATACTGATGATCAAATGAGGAATAAACAAACTCAAACGTTGATATCTGGCTCCGATAATTAGCCTAACTAGTTGTATATGCATATTCAGACAAAGATTTTTAAGGCATGAAACGAAGTCAAGACTATATGTTAATGAAATTGTTAAAGTTTACATTCAATAGGAATAAAACGTAACCATTATTTCATGATTTTGTACACAACCTTACGATAAGCACCAGTTTATTTTCCCGAAACTCGAGACTTTCATACTGACAGTCACCTCACTAACAAAGACAGTGTTTATTTCGAATAGATTTTAAAAAATATAATCAATTTAATAAGTTGGACGTTAAAGTGCAGCATTATAAATGATATTTGAAATTAGGACTAATCACTGTCCGACAGTAAGTACGTTCAGAGTTGGTTTTTTAAGTGGGAAGTTTGCTTTAAGATCAAAATGAGTCAAGGCCTGATCCAATGATTGTGAATAAAATGGTTGAAATAGTTATAGTGAATCAGGTTGAGACATACTGAATCTTGATCGACTGATGTATTTGAAGCATATTTGGTGGATATCGAATCCCTATGTATCTACACACGTAGTGCTGTCTGGCATAGTAGAAGGTAGACAGAAAGCTATAGGTGAACAAAATAAAAGCAGGCATCAGCCACGTATTAAATGATCCAACTTTCACATGTTATCCACTTTTAAGACCATACTTTCATTTAGATTGTTTATTTCATCCAGCATGTTGAGATGTATTACCTAAGCACATTCATATATGTATATATAGCTTTAGATAAGTAAGGTGAAGTTCACGGCTTAAATTATTCCGTTAAACATGTCACAGATACTAGGAACATATAAACCTGCGCGAAAATGCTAGATATCACACTTTATTGAACATTGTAAGGGAATGGTTGTCTTCATCCTGACGTCAATTTCTTAAAGCGCGCGTGTGAGGTTCAAGGTCAGCCAAAATCAGGTGTAGATGGAGAATGCGGTTCCCGAATTTGCTCGTCGTTTGTACAAAGAGTGGCGTGATTTTACAGCTGAACCAGTCGAAGGTATCCAGTTGATGCTCAATGAGCAAGATATGACGGAAGTTCAAGTCAGTTGTATTTTTGTCTTTTTAATTTGTCAGGTCGTACTTGACGGTCCCGTTGGTACCCCTTATGATGGTGGCAAATTCCGTCTGAAGATGTTGATTCCTATGCAGTATCCGATAGAACCGCCGAAGGCTTACTTTTGCACGAAGATATTCCACCCAAATATAGCACCAAACACCGGAGAGGTTTGCGTAAACACACTGAAGAAGGATTGGAAATCCAATTTAGGACTGCGACATATCCTTCTAGTGAGTTAATGAGCTGGAACTTACTCTTTAGACTATAAGGTGTTTGTTGATAGAACCCAATCCAGAATCAGCTCTTAATGAAGAGGCTGGAAAATTGCTATTAGAAGATTACAGTGAATTTGTGGCAGAAGCTCGGCTCCTCACAGAAGTACATGCTTACTGGCACGTTCGGGAACAAGCGAAAGTCAGTAGTCAGAAGTTGCATCAAGACGACCATGCAAGTATCGATATGTAAGTTGACTCAGCACGTGCATAAACTTGATGTTAATACGTAATCTAAGCTTACAATTCAATATTTAGAAGACCGCAGAAAATCTGCAGTCAAAGGCACATTCAGTATGTTTTAGTCTCGCTCATCGTATTCTCCCGAGTTGTTTAAGGTTCATCACCTAATTTCATCTCCTAAGTTTTAGTTGTGTTCCTCTTGGTTTTTGTGAGTTTTCTACGAACCGTGTTACAAATTCCGTTTATCTCCTTTCAGTATTATATTTTATAACTAAAGGCTGTCATATCGAGGCCAAACGAATAGTATTGTCTGTATAGGATTCCGATGGTAGATGCGTTAGCTATTTATTTGAATCTCTTCTGAAACTTTATTCTTTGTTACAAATTTAGGCGTGGGGTTGATGGCAGTTAGATACCGCTGACACTTATCAGGTCAAAGACCAGAAAAGTCAGACAAGACTACTTTCATTATTTTGGTCGCGATATTTATTAGTAATCATATAAATGAAATTCCATGGGCTGTACAGTATAGCGTTTCGTGTTTGTTTTCTTTGAGCTTTCACAAATGCTTTCTTCCATGTAATCTGGTCATGGTACATGTGTCCCGTTTGTATGCTTAATCCTCGTTTAATTATTTGTTAGTTCTAGTTATGGTTATGTAGGTTACTTTTCAGGGTTATTTTTTCAGTCGTTGATATTATTGTTGAAAGTTTGCGAACTAATTCCAACTCAGACTTTTTGCACAGTAAATAAATGTAACTGATATAAAACGTGTTAATATAAATAATATTGAGTAACGTAATCGGAGTATTAGCTATGGGTTATGTCTTTTCCTAAATTTCTTACGAATTGAGAGATTTTTATCCAATTAAAATACATTAGCTCATAAAGACCTTCAGTGGTAACGGTTTTTTAGCGTTTGTAACCATGATCTAGTAACTATTTTCACAGAATAACATAAAATTACGTGATAAACTCCGCACTGTTCTCAAAGTCTCGGTATTTCGCTGTTATCTCATTTCAGATCAGGCAATTCGACTGATGCGCGTACACATTCTAAAGTGACACAACGCAATAACTCATCATTTCGTAAAGCGCTCAAACGGTTGTAGTACTTAAGAGCGCAATGTTACCTGAATGAAGACTTGTAATCAATAATCTATACCTTGTGCATTTATGTATATTATATGATAACTGTACTTTTGCTTACTTTTAATTCCTACCATTGAATATTTTGGTCGACAACATAAAAGCAGTAGCTAAATTTATTACCACGTGAATCAACCTATTAGTGACAATATGATCCGAAACCTAATCAAAGATCTAAATTATTAGACGTGCATAACACCTATAAAATGCGGGATGATTAGTACGAGCAAACTCGTGTTTTAGAAACAGTTGACTTATTTCCTCACCAGTTGTAGAGAAAGAAGCCTGTTAACCCAGATGACCGACAACATTCATTGTAGTGAGGATGTTAAGATGTGTATCGGGCTGTGTGATGTTTAAAATCCAGAACTGTTCTGTTTTACGACTGAAATTCAACAACTGAAGATAAAGAACATATAGTTATATGTATTTGACTATCAGTGTTGTTTACGGGACCATAAGGTACACAATGCTAACGAGAAACGTCGGGAATTATGATGTTAATCTGCACTGACTAAGGTGACCAGGAGATATTCTGCATCTTGAGATATATTTCACAATTTATATGGAGCAGATCTACAATGGTAGAAACCTGAAAATAGTCAAACTGACAAGTTGGACAATTACGTGTGATACCGACCTGCATAGAGTATTGCGTAATCTGTGGTCATCGTTACGAAACTCAGTAGTTTGACAACCTAATATGGCATCGATTTACATGATGAGCGTAGACTATTATCGTAAATTCTAATCATCTTATGGTTGTGTTTAACTACCCTGTTAACATTTTTCTGTATCTTATCAAGCTTCGTAACCTGAATCAGTGCATTATACTGCTACAGTTTTTAAAAAGATCTTTTTTGTTTATAAAAATAAGCTATGAAGTCCAAAATAACTTGGAAACTGATTAATTGGTCAATAAAGAGATAACAAAGTATTGCTTAGGTACGATGAGTTGGACGTCAACGTATGTCAGTGGAAACGGAAAAACCGGTAGCTATTTGGAATTTTGTTTTATTACAGTCCATGATTTTTTCAGCCGAAGACCCTAATAATCAGTAAAATCCATGCAGAAACAACAATATGATTATGTCATCCTGATATTCTTGAAATAGTAGGTAGTTGATAGCTTAAAATTGATCTAATTCTTACAAAGTGAATTCTAAACAGTATTTAATGTTTGCAAATATAAGGCAAAACTATTCGGGTCACACCCGTTTGGTCAAACCAAAATAGGTGATATGGTGCGCGAATCTACAACTTACGCCTAACTAATCCTTTAATATTTCTGAAATACGCAAGCACTGTGTTCTATCGTAACTGGCACAATTGACGTAAGAGAAAAACGGAAATTACTTTGATTGAGGTCTGATACAAAGCCCAGGAATAAGGCTAAACTTTCAACTAATTGAAGAATAGCTGACCTAACCAAACTATTTTTTCTTCAAATCGCCTGACATTTCATCGTGTTTACCTTCTGTTCATTTGCCGTTTATGAACATGTTTCACTACATCTGCTTAGTGAAAATTAGAACAACACATATAAGCGAACAATCGCTTAGTGGTCTTGCTTCTGATTTCTAACTATTCATGGAATTAAGTCAATAATACAGTCTTGTGAGTGGCCATCACTTAACCACATCATATCGTTCTGTTCATCTATCGTTTAACATTTTACCTATTGATTTTAATCTAAATTCCTGCCTCATCAACTATAACAATAACACTATAAAAAATTGTTGAAATGACTAGTAAAACAAATGAATCAATTTAAACAAAACGAAAACTACAGACAGAAGATATTCGTTGAAATCATTCAAACCCTAACAATGTAGTAGAAAACAAGAGAAATTTACAGTGCTGAGTGTTATTTTGTATCACATTTTTGCAATTATTTTAGCAAGTATAAAGTGATGTTTATTGCAAACAAAAGTGCTTACTAGAAAGCAAATAAATTTAAGGAAAGTTACAATATGTGGAGATGTGTCGTATAGAATCGCAAAAATACTAGTCGGTGCGTGTTTTTTATTTATTTTAAAAAAGACAAAAGATTACACACTATACATGTGTTGTTGTGATAATATGGACTTAAAAAAACATTATAAGAGATCAAAAATATTTGATGATAACTCTAAAGCTGATAATGATAATTGGATCGGAGACAATCACGTAGATTTTGAGCAATGCGTTGAGTTTGTATTTAAAAAATGGTTGAACCTATTATTCATATAAAATATTAGAAAGAGTATTTATTTCCATGTATGGACTTATGAAATAACTGGCGGTGGAGTTACTGGTCCGAATACTTCCTCTACATGTGTAAGCAAATATTCTATACATGGGACCTGTACAGACTTAAGTGCTCTATATGCGACAGACTCTACTTCTGGCCAAATTAAACTCGGTCCGAAAACAATAGCCAAATTGTAAGAATGCATTTGGTTGATACTGGACAATTGCATTACTCTAAGAAATAAAAAAGTACAATACAAAGAAATGAAGTTTATTGAAAACAGAATTTAAGAAAGTTATGTGCAAGCTTATTTAAACAACCCTCAACTTTTAATGTAAATAAGGGATTCTATGTGTATACGCGTTATTACCAAGAACTAAATAAATCAATGTTACCTTATTTCCGCTGTCAGTATATCGATAAGACACTATTCTAGTATGAGTAGTAAACGAGCTTCGATTAAAGTACAATGGCATAATCTCCAAGTCACCAATAATGTACTCAACCTTATCGATTTTCTTTTTGGCTTCACTAATCTCTAAGAGCTCTTCAATTCTCACTTCATATGGATGAGATATAACTGGTCAGTATGGAATAGTGTTCTTGATCTTCAAATACCATGTAACAACTTTTGAAGTTGATACTTTAACTTTCACCAGCTGGAATGTTTAAAATCCTTTTTAGAATGTATATTGCTTTGAAAAATGCACAAAACACTTGACTTAATTTACGTGAAGTTATGTGTTTACAATTCACTTTGTGGGTGCTTGAATCATCTGGAAATCTTGATTTTAAGGAAATAACGTGACGACGACAAGGAAACTTTTGGAGTGAATTTCATTTGGTAATGGCACCAACAAGTTTTGGCTGAGTGGATTCATGAGGATGAATTAAAACCTACATATAGTTCTATGTTCAAGCAATGTATAAAAAGTTATTAATTGTAAATCGAACCTCTAGATGAATACTGTTATTTCATATGGTTCGAAATTATTCGCGGGTGTGGTAGTGCATTCGTTTTTCCTTACTTTAAGAACGCAACAGCAATACATAACATTACAAGTGGTCGGTCACATGCGTGTGGGATATCAATGGCGGCTTGCATAGCTGGATGCTAACAACTATGAATGATAATGCGTGCCATGGGTCAGTATCCTACTGTTGCACTAGTTCTCTTAAGTTTGCAGATAGGCTCTTGTTGATATAGCGGCAACTACAAAAGGACCTTGGTCCATGTCGATTGTCTACAGTTCTGTTTTGAGAGATATTACGACTATTCAGAGTTAAGAACGTTTGGAAGATGTCTCCTAATACGATAGGGATCTGGGCGACTAGTCCGCACAACATTTGAGCAATGGAAATATCATGTGATTGAGGAGTGAGAGAGAAAATACAAGAATTTGGGAAAAGCTTGGAGAAAGTAGATAAACTATTTTGGTATATATATAATCCTAAATCACAATCGATTTTCACGTTTGTACTATATTGAGAATTCTTTTAAAAAAAGTTAATTCTTTCGTAGTAAAACTTAACTTATTTCACCATCTTACCTGTACAAATGATGGAAAAATATTCGAGATGTGTTGATATGTGGGACAGGCATAGAATTGATCAATTCTCGCATTCTAATCACTTTTAAATCTGGCGCTATATCATTATCACCTGTATATTGAATAAAAGGAAATTCAATTCAAGAATGATCCATAACTATAGATTATACAAAATATTGTATTATACAGTGATATAACCTAATAACAAAGTAAACAGTATATATATATATATATATATATATATATATATATATATATATATATATATATATATATATAAGCGATTATGAATTGGAGGTTTCCAGACGGGCAACAGTAAATCCTATTTTATAAACAACCACGAGTCTTTTAAGACGAACAAGAACGAATATGAATTTCGACATACTAAACGTCTAAAACACAACAGATCATCTTTAATAATCCACAAGCTAACATGAGATAGAAAAAATGAGACTTTCAGGATAGCTTTGTATTCCGAATAGAAGTTGACAATTGACAAGGAACAACTCTGTCAAGAAAGTAATATGCAGTGACCTCGAGGAACATAACGAAACTAGCAAACTAAAAGCGATAACAAACAATCAGTTAACATCAAAGTTCATAGCGGGAATATGAATTAGAAAAATGTCATCGAAATAATCCATTAAGGAAAGAATTAGCATGTAATTACAGAAAGCTAAGTAAACTCACTACTCACTAGCAATTAAATAACCTATTCATAGCTGTTTCAGTAGCTAGATAAAATAATATGATCAATAGCAACGTTCCTTTAATTGCTTTCAAAAATTATCACAAAGTTAACATACAGAACACAGTGATATTGGTTGGATGTGGATATGTAGCATTATCGTGGAGAGGAGATTCGAAAAAGTGCAATAATATTGAAGATGTAGTGTGTTGTAAACAAATATAATACTTGAAGTAAGATAATGGATTTACCGAGGTTACAGAGCTGAAACAATTAACTGATTATGCTAGGAAGACACAAATTAGTAGTAATTAAGAATAACATGAGTTGAGTTGAGATCAGTCAGTTAAAAATAAAGTAATGAATTTTTAAATTAGTGGATGCAATAAAAATAAGGCAGAGTTGTGAGAAGGATGTATTATAGTGATAGCATCACAATGACAAGGAAAGACACGCCACTGTTTCCCTTTGAATACATAAACCTAACTTGAGACATTTGATGGCTATGTCTTCGGCAAACCTAAGAAGAACAAAGTTTGACTGTCATATGACATTTAATCTGGAAACTTAATGCACTGGAACTTGTGTCTATTTAAGATGAGAATAACGTCCAAACTGGTTATTCCGAAAAGGATTTGAGCGTAGTTTATATTCCAGAAACATTCTACTGGAAATTATTGTTAGTATTTCTATTGCAGAACTATTAGACGTTTGGGGTATTGTATTATTCCCTCATATATGTACGTTTTTTCTCCACACACAAACCATTTTTTTACTTCTTACTGTTCCAGATTTTTCATTAATTATTAATTTTTTATTGCTCAATTTCGTATCACTTATGGTTGAATTGTCTATACATTGTAATCTCTTATTTTTTTACTACCCGAGCAGGTTAAGTATTCTATGAGTTTTGAGTCATAAATGAATAGAGTAAAAACGAAAATTAATCTGTTTGTTGTCCTTATCTTTTGATCATAAACTGGATCGCAAAGAGTTCAAGGACCAATCAGCATTAAGGCTTAAGAAGTTGTTCATTGGTATGAAAAAAAGGTCATCGGTTCCATAGGCCATATAAGTAAAGAAGTCAATATTCAAACTAGATAATACAACTCCTCCTATTATAGACGGTATGATCACACAAGCGCTAATACAAATCAAGGAACTGATCTTTTTTTTTAAAAATACAACAAAATTACACAAATACGGTACAATAAAACCATTAAAACAAAGTAAATCATTTCAAACTATACAACACAGATTTTAAGTTACTTCAATAACGATGAAAAATGATACAAAAAATTGGCAAACATTATTTACTGTATTATTAATATTGATTGAATAATTTATTTACCCAATAGTTGATCAACTTCTGGATATATTTTGAATGTTATAAGTGGTTCTTTAAGTTCACGAAAAAATAATTTCAATGCCCCTGTTAATACTTCTAAACTCCATTTTTCAGAATTTAAACTGTAGTTATCTATAATAATAATAGTAATAAAAAATAGAATCAAGAAACAAATCAAGTATTTCAATTGATCATTAAAATAGTATTAACTGGAGGATTATTGAAAAAATATACACCAATGTACAACTATTTTATCCTTACTTAATACTTCATATCAGTTCATATTCACAATCATCTAAATGATTGAACTTAATTATTTCAAGTGAATAATAATGCTGATGTCTAGTAGTGAAAGTAATATGTAATTGACCATTGAGCGTGAACAGAGACGTTCAGCTTATTAAACATTAGATATGTTATGTACTTATTTTATTGCTTCCTACTCTGAACTCATCGAGTGTAAACTGATTGTAATTGTGTTGAGAAAATTATCGCCTCTATATTCAAAGGATAAATAGCAAATGGAAAGGATTGCCGACGACAAAGTTTGATGAAGAATCTTGGTGGGAAGCGTTTGCTCCTAGGGGAGTTGGAAAACTCTGATTCCAAACCAATGGCGCACATGAGCTCCAGTACCCTGAGGGACCAAATGGAGTATGAACCAGTCGTTGGTCACCGGCTCCCATGGGGCTGCATCTCCTTACGATGCTCCACTGTCTTGCGGATCAGACCTTTACGTTGAAGGCTCCAGGTGTGACCCCCTAAGAAAACCACTTGGTTCGGTTTGGACATCTGAGCAGTATCACAGCCCTCACACAAATCAAATGAGACTTGTGTGGTGCACATGTATCTGGTTCCCCCTTGTATCAGTATTCATGTGTTCAAATAAATAAATAAATTTTTTTCCTCCACGATGGATAAGTATCCAGTCTAATGGTCATATGATCTCCACAAGCGATTGTATTGCCTTATTATAGTAGTATACAGTAAAAATAGAAACTATTTTTATACTCCCGTTTATATCAAATGCCAAGAATAACCATTAAGCTAATGTGTTCATAAAGCCCAACATTCTATATTTTCATACGTTTGTTTAAATCTAAGGGGACATAACACGATTTTTATCTAGGCATTATTGATTAGTGAAATTGTCTTTATTTTCAATTCGGTTGACTTCTTAGGTCATGGCTTTTCATCAAACCTTTAGAAAATGTGTTAATTATACATAAGAATATTAGATAATATAATAACACGTACATTACATGTATGAATAAAAATTTAAAAGTAAACAATCATAAAGTGTAGTTTATTAAATAATAGAACAAAACATGTTATTCATCGTCAATACACGAGTATGTAGAATGAACTTAAAATAGATAGTATAGATGGAAACATTGGATAATTTGATTGATAAATTTTACCTACAGCTTGTGTAACTTAGCTAGTATAAACATGTAACTACATTACGATAAACAGACCACCTGCTAACCATTGTATAGCATAATAAATTACTTATTAAAAACCTCTAGAGAAGAGAGAGACTATGGTTCAAATAGCATTTAAAGGTTTAAAAACTATTTTCAGCCTGAGGCTTAAAATCCCACCTTCACCCATAGAGTAAAAAAACTTGTTTGATTTGTTCTGTCACTTTGTTTTCCCAATATTATGATAATTATCTCATTTAATACTTGGTTTAGAAAAACGTTCTAAGTGTAGGGATTAGTAGTTTTACTCGGTCACCTGGACTAAAGAGGGTGCGGCAGTTTTCTAACCTCAGACTTATTGGCTTAAAGTCGAACACATTAACGTCTGAACCACTACTCTATTTCATTCTCAAAGAAATTTACCTTTGAATTAGAAACAATAAAGACAAGTGTCCGAATAATGTGGACTAACAATAACTTTATTGACTAGTGACATATGCTTGTATAGCATACTTTGACACAATTTAGATACCAGGTTATTTAGAAAATGTTTAATATTTCAAGAAATTTTGTTTGGTGTTATTGAAGTAAAGTTGTTGTAAGTCCTACTACATACGAGCATTTTTACTGTAGACTCGATAGCAGCAACTGGCGCACAACTCTTCAGTAACCAGCCGTTAGTACAGACTGAAGACGAAATGTAGGAAAAACTCGGTATTTCAGCAGAACCTAAAATGGTACGACTCAGTATACATGGTAACGATAGTAAACAGAAAATCAGTATACTAAAAGTAATGACAACCAATCAGGTGATGTGAAAGCGAAGATGAATGGTGGATAGCAGTGGAATCGAGGCCGCGAGTTTCGTCCTATTTGAGACTCGTCAGCTGGGTTTACTAAGTATCGATGGGAAGATTCAAACAAACAATACGGAATGAAAGTTTATTGAGAAGATTCGAGTCAGGAAAATGTCATCGAGGTTATCCATTAAAAAAGATTAACTTTTAATAACGAAAAACTAGATGATTTGATCCATTCTAAGCAAAGTGATACTCAAACTGAGGTCAATGCCTGACGAATATCATTTACAAATTAAGTTAAGGCTTAAATATACGAAATCAGGTATTTAAATAATACAAGATTACAGGTAAACCTTGCTAACGAGTGCCAAGTAGCACGAGACCTGGGTCCAGGGTTTCCTGTTGACATCCTCCAACCACCATCTTATCGAATAAAAACATAAAGATTATCTTATACTTCATATTTTGAACTACCACAGCTTATTATGTCAAAACTGACAAATGAGTCATAGTCATGCTATTTTGATTGAATAATTTTTGGTTTTCATTACTGGATATGCAATCAGTCAATAGTAGTATGGTGTATGTGAACACCAATGAGAACTGGAATGATTGGCAACAGGTGGTTAAGAAGATCGAATTGAAGAGAACAGGAATGTAAACAGAGAGTAATTGTTATAACAACAAGGATGAAGTAACGATGAAGTTTGTGAGAGACAGCTGATGGATGATGTACAAATCAAGTATTTAATGTATGCTTTTCATATTTTACGAAGATATTCTATAATTTGTATTGAAAAATAAATTAGTTGTATTCATCAAATGAACGTTCACTTTAGTAGTAATAGTATTATTATTAGTAGTAGTACTGCCTACACAAATTCATCTGATTAAGATTTGAAGAACAGTCTCATGGGCAAAATATCAATTTACCAATCTTACTAATTATCAATCAATTAAGCTAACATAGTAATACTATTACACAATATGACTAATAAAAACGAAATATACATAGATTGACTTTCTATGCATCTAACACAAAATATGTGTAAACAACCATAATAACTGCTGATTGTCCATTTCATTATGTTCAAGTTAAAACACAGTTTTGATTAATCAACTTATTGCATGATGTATTAAAGCAACAGAACAAAAGGACCAGTCTTCTCTTAACAAAATGCTAATTAATATATAATGTAACATTTGCAATGAAAGACGTCTGCACAGTTCTGTCTAGATAGCATCAAAATGATTGTGGTATTATGTTCTTTGTTTCTAACGACAGATTTTGAGGGTACGACCCGTAAATATTAACAAATTATTGATTTAGTATACTGTACATTAGCTGAAATCATTGAACATGCATGAATGATGATAAAAGTAAAAAGTAGTAACAATAATAATAACACATTATCACTACTTTAACCAAATGATGTAATTAAAATGAAAATATACAACAAAAGTGCATTTTAACTGTAATTCTTTCTATGTAACAACACCAAAATACAATCAAAATAATCAAAAACGAAATGAAAAAGTATATACATTTGTATTCATCACTGATGAAAAGTTTGGAATTAGTAACAGATTTTAGGGATTATTGTTAGGTTTAAATTACCACTTAAACCACTGGCCATATAAATTGGTAAAGAGAATGTAATCAGTACTGAAAAGAATATGATAGTGATCATTATAAAGTGGTCGATTAATGTGGATATATCTGCCAAAACCGAATAACTTAGTAGTAATGTCGACGTGATCTGTATTGAAATCGCCTTCGAGTAAATATAAGTGCCTTTAAGCTTTCCGGACACAACTGTCAACCAGCATGAAGCCTACAGTCTTTTTTAAAGTATTCTAAAGGGTCTAAAATCAAATATCATTAACCTAAAGTGGGACCAGTCGAGTGAAGTAGTGTCCTAGAATACTAAACAATAAGAGTGGGTCGTAATAAGAGAAAATTTAACAGAACCTATGTAAGTGGCATGAAAGTGACATCATTCAAGAGTCAAAATACCGCAAGCTTACTAGATTTTAACTGAAGGCTGATAACCAACGGTTAACTAATTGCCAATGCTTTTGTTCCTTAAATTATCACAACAACGGAAACAGACTATTAACAAATGTTACACAATTCAGATGTCTGTAGTAAAATAGTAGTGTAATAAACTATATACTTGGTATTTCTAAACAAAAGGACATAGCAACAGAACTTTTTATATAAAAAGTCGATTGACTTATATAATGTTTACCAATTATGTAACTGTAACTATTTACTATCAAAAATGAGAGTCACAATTGACCATGCATACTATAAAAAAAAGAAATGTTAAACACTAAATATCAGTATATGATATTTCTAAAGCAAAAAAATGCCACCCACATATGTAATATTGATAATATAGTAATATGTTTATTAATTCATACTTAAGTGTAATTCTATGCCTTAATGAACAATAACAATTCAATACATAATTGACAGCTATTCTGGTTGATTTTTTTTAGGTTTTGTCTAAATGAATCCAAATTGAACTTTAGTTATCAGGTGATCATTCGATGTTATGCTGAAATTAATTCTATCATTGAAATCACATGAAAAATAATGAGATTCAGAACGTTAGATTATATGTAAACCCACAGATAATCACATAATAATCAAATCAAAAATATTATACTAACCAATGATCAAGTATATGTTCATACGATCGATCTTAAGCTTTAACGTATAAGACAGAGAAAAAGAGGGTTCATTAAACTATATAAGTCCTTAAATTGAGGCAGTGGCGAAACTATAATTTATGGACGAACCAATCAGATTTAGGATAACAGGTCTTGGATTTTGACGCGAAATTCATTCACATATTTGTCTAAATAACGTTTTGGCAATTTAGCTGATGTCAGTTCGTGATGAAATTCATAACTCTCACCGTCAAGTGTAAATCATAAACCTTATTCTTCAAACTGCTTTATAACCCTTGTTTAGCCCTAGTAAGTAGGTGGACATTCTCAAGGTCACTTTAGCGTCGCTCAAAGGTCGTCCGTAAAGTATAGTCACACCGTGACACATTTTTGTAGCAGAAAAACAAATAATTATTGATTTTATAGACAATGTGAATATTAAAAACAATTTCAAGCAGTCATGTTAAGAGCTATCAATTCACAGTAAATAAACAATATACTTCAGTTCACTTACATTGATTAACGGCACAGCGAAGCTTTTGGATTGTAGCACCATTTCCGCTTGATCGATAAATCCCAACATGATCAAGTCCTGAAATTTAATAGGGAAAGTAAAATAAAAATTGTTAAATTTGAATATTCATGGATTAATATTTAGAAAACAATTATGTTCAGTATGAAATAGATGGAGTGTGGTTAGCACTTAAGTCTAGGACTCGTGTTTCGTTCTATTTGGGATTCATCAGCTGGATGTACCTGCATCTCAGAGTTGATTTACATCCCGGGAATCAAACACTTCCACCTTAAATGCCATTGTGTTATCCAATAATCTACTGAGTCCCGATAGCCATCCAGTCGTGTTGATGCTCTTAATTAAAATTTGACCAGTCTTGGTCGGGATATGAGGTTCAGTTATCGACTTGGAGCACATAAATAATGAAGTCCTATTCGGTGTATACGAAGACGTAAAGTGAAATCTCTTGAATGATCTGAGTCTCGATAGACTTGGTGGTTTGGTGTCTGAACAAATCTCACCATGAACTTAAAAATCTCCTTTGGCTTTTCCCAATCAGCCTCATTTGTGATGTACGTGAGATGTACATCTGCCAACCAACAAAACTGTATAGAAAGAAGCGATCTGCTTTGTCCTACTCGATGACTATGGATCATAGTTTATGAAAATAGAAGACATCTGTAGTCTAGTGGGTTTTTGTCATAACCGTATTTCAAAGTTTATTCGCGTATTGTGGAACAACTAGGTGAGTTTGGAAGTAGAATACTAAGCAAGGATGAGAAATAGGTTGATGAGCTTGTGATTCTTAATTATCTGGGGTTGTTGGAAAATGTAGTATGCACGACTAACCGCCGCCTACCTTGATGATGGAAGTGAGATACTGCAGGAGTGAGTTGGCAGCTAAGTAGGAGAGACCAAACTTAACCGTAGCATCAGTCGATGTAGCCAATAACCGTTGGTCCTGAGTTTGATTCCCACGTGCGAGTTCGCAGATGTGCACTGATGAGGAGTCCCATACTAGAATATAACGGCGGTCCAGTGTTTTAAAGTCCCCAATGATGGTCCTGCTCAGATCAGTTAGTGATTATGAATATGAGAATCGTACTGCTTGAAACAAGCTCCCACAACGCAAACAGGGACAAAGTAGTTTTATCAAATGTATTGTGGTATCCCATAATAAAAAACCCACTGAGTTCTGCTCGTTTGACTTGGTGAGGCCAATGTGGTCGAGTCATGGTTACTTATAAGTACGGGTTATTGCAATGAAAAGCTTATAGTTAGTGGATAACAGAATCCCGAACGAGTTCTCAATGAAAAGGAACCGTTTTATATTTTACACCTATACGATTTAAATTCATTCGAAATGTGATTGAATGCTGGATTAAAATTTTGTACGTTATTTAACAGCCTATTAATATAGGCGTTGATTAACATGGTTACTTATTTCCTGATATTAAACTTCTTGCCACGAATAACTAGCAAATCTAACTATGCTGTCTTGTCATGGACGTAGTTTGGTTCAGAAAACAGTTTACTCTCCGATATTCCATGGATTTCTAACAGTGGTGGTATAGTTTGAAAAGTACTAAACCAACTAACACAACCAAGTCCATTCACAAAGATCTCGTGCGAAATTGGTTTAAGATAGGCTTTAAGATCGACAAGATCTTGAATACGAATCCTGTTTATTTCATAATTTCCTTCAGAAGGAATATTCTCTTGTGGTATGAATAACTCGAATGCTCATGTATGATAATTTATACTATTACGGACAGCATTAGAGAAAAGCATTAGTCACATCATAAAAGATCAAATCAGTGTTATAATGAGATCTCTGTAAATTTGTTTGGATTTCAATCTGTAAGTGGTCCAATACTCAAACCAGAGAATAAAACTATGAAAAATAATGTTATACATAACAAAAAAAGAATACCTCGAGCTTCAATAGCACGAATTGCACGAACAATAAAATTAGGTACATCAGAATCTTCATTCTCACATATTTGCATGATTGTAGATGCAAATACAGATTCATCTATTTACAGAGAAAATTAAATCAAAATATTTAGGAGAAAATTATTTATTAATGTTGGTGAAATTTTTATTTAAAATACAAAACAGACAAAAATCATGCACATAGACATCTGTTAGACAAATAAACCTATCATATTATACCTTATTCACTGTTATAAATAAATAGATAAGCTGATTACATAACATTCAAATTGTTACTAGGAGAAAAAAGTGGAATAAACAGGAATGATCTGTGCAAAATGATACATCCAGTTAATTGTGGAACTAATAATCCTCTCGGACTTAAACGATGATTTTTTTTGTTTTAGTGTCGACCAGATAGTATGAATCTTGTTTTTCAAAAAATATCAACGTAATATATTTGATATAAAACATTGTAAAGTATTCTTCATACACAATTATAGCCTTAACAAACACTATACTAATTTTGTGAAATAACGATTAACGTACATGAAACCACAGAGAAAAAACCCAACGAGAGTTGTCATTAAACAAATGAAATTTTACTATTAATATATTTTAGTGGCTTAGTTGTTATGAAAACAGTGAATCAAAGAAATGTACAAATTTATTAGTAATTTTAAAAAGACCCATTATATCAACGTTGTATTTAGTGTCCAGTAGATGGGTATACGATTAAGTTATTGATTATTTTTGTAGATCAACGGGCAGGCGTTTCATTGATCGTTTCTTCTATCTTTCTAATGTATATGATTTTGTACAGGTTTGTAAGTTGATGGATGTTTTATTAAGAGACAAAAAAACAAATAATTATATACTATCGTTTATATGATTAAACAAGATATCACCTCGAAATTTAGGTAATTTATATAAATTTTCACAGATTTAAATCATGAGTCAGTTGAAGCTAGACCACCATTGAAAACCTGGAAGCACTGGACGGCCGTTTCGTCCTAGTATGGGACTCCTCAGCAGTGCGCATCCACGATCCCGCACCACGCGGGGCTCGAACCCAGGACCTACTGGCTTCGCGCGCGAGCACTTAACCATTAGACCATAAGACAACAGAGGATGGTCGTGAAATGTCGCGGATCGGTTGAAGTTATACATCAACACTGTTGCATGCCGGCTCCGTGGTCTAGTGGTTAAGCGCTCACGCGCGAGACTGGTAGGTCCTGGGTTCGAATCCCGCGAGGCGGAGTCGTGGATGCGCACTGCTGAGGAGTCCCACAATGGGACGAAGCGGCCATCCAGTGCTCCCAGGTTTTCCATGATGGTCTAGCCTTAATTGACTCATGATCTCAACCATTGAAATTACCATAATATCCACAAAAACCCTTCTGATATAAATATAATTATCAACAAATGTTTAGCATATAGTAGTTTGTGAAGTTTAGATAAATGTTCAAAGTGTACCCGAGATCAATATAATGAGGAGAACAGAATACAAAATGATGTTTATTTATACGGCGGGAAGTAATAATTAAGAGGTTATATGAAGTTAACAAGTGATTGGGTAGTCGTTCAACATGATAAAATAAACAAATATGTGAACATCAATCAGATTATGTAAGAGATGAATATCAGAAGCTGAAATAATAATAAAAAGGTTGGGAACAGGGTTGGAAAAAATTAGAATTAACAAACGTTTTTAGACAAATGTCCAATCACTATGTCAGGGAAAAGTTGATCAAACTTTAGCTCTGTATACATAACTTAGGTCGGAAACGTTTGATAGCAATGGCCTCTGCAAAACGGAGTTTTTTCTGTTGATTATTTTGAATGCATCACTTACATTCATTCAACGTTTACTATCCAAAATATGTCTGGCACTTGTAAAAACTTTACTCACTTTCAGACATAAGTTCCTAGGAATGCATTCAGAAAACGTTGTAAAGGCCCTTCCCTCCGTACTTACTACGTAATTGCTGCCGCAGGTACATGTAGATTCATAAATGCAATTAAATATGACGTCGAAATCGTATTGATCTACTTTTGAATGGTACAGAGAACACTCGATGTTGAGTTGTGAAACCGATTGAGCAGCAGGAAACCTTTTCAGCAACGCCTTGACTCTCCTATAGAATCTTTCTGAAATCTTATCTCCCTTGAACGGAAGGCGGATGAAGACAAGTCTCTTCTTAACAGTTGATTGTCTATCATCTTTGAGATATTTATTCCCGAAGTTAGTAATAAATTCCCTCGGGTATCCATTTTTTATTAAATACTTTTCCTGAATAACCGATTTCTCATTTATTTAGCCATTTGAGCATAACATCATAGATCTATTGAAGTCTTTTGAATAGACACATTTTGTAACTGATAGGACAAAAGCTGTTAAAGTTCAAATACTGTCCTGTTCATGATTCTGTCCTATATATACTTTTTGCAAGACTTCAATCACTTTTCTGTCTTACACTAAGATCTAAAAAATTCAATTGGTTATCTCTTTCAGATTCCATTGAGAACGTTATGTTGGGATGAAAGTTGTTGAACTAAGAAACCGAGAAGCATGGTCCATATCATCACAGATACTGTCGTCAAAAAATCTGGTGTAATATTTTGGATTTCGCGTTTTAGTTTCGCTAGTTCTAGACTAGTCAAGAAGATATCGGCCAAGATAGGCCCCATGGTCACCCTATCGGTTTGTTTCTATAGTTGATTGTTGAATTGGAAACGAACCCCTTCTGTGCAAAATAGTAATAATTTTCTCAACTCATCTTTAGGCGGAGGAAGTGTTGGGATATTCAGGAAAATATCCCAAAAATTATTCTATTAAGTCTAATGCTATTCTTGGACTTGGAGATGGTATTATTTTCTTATTGGTCGGTACTTATTTCACGTGTGATTTTCCTACTGGTCAATATTGTACAATGTTCTTTTCTATTTTATGGTAAGATGTGGTCTGCTTGATTAGTATATAAACAGTCACAATTGATTGATCACTGGGTGGTGATCAATGTCATGCTTGTCTAGTCCTTATTAGTGCAGATCGAATGTTATCGATCATGTTGCAATATGGCCACCAGTCTAGGTGACTCGACACTGCGGGCACAATGTATTGAGATTTGGATGGTGGTTGGAGGTAGTCAACAGGAATCCCTGCACCCGGGTTTCGTGCTACTTGGCACTCGTCAGCAAGGTGTACCTGTAATCTTGAGGGAACTGGTGCTCCCTGGCCGATTCGATCTCGTGTCACCCAGCTTCACAGTCAGAGACGTTACCACTGAGCTATCCGAGCTGTGACTAACCTCCTGTAGGACTGAGATGTAATCACAATTGATTGATCACTGGGTGGTGATCAATGTCATGCTTGTCCAGTCCTCATTAGTGCAGATCCAATGCTATCGATCATGTTGCAATGTGGCCACCAGTCTAGGTGTGTTTGAAATATAATGATTCATATCTCCGAGGCTGAGACTTGTGTTCTGGACTCAACTGGCTGGGCTAGACAGGGAAGCGGGACCAATCAGAACCCTAGGTCATTCTTACGTGTTTGTGCGTCTTTGGTCCGATCGATAATTCGCTGTCCTCTAATCTGCCCTCAAAGTTATAGCAAGAAGTAATTCAAATTGTTCATAAATTATATTAACAGTTACTGCTGGTGGTATACTCACAAAAAATGAACACACGTGAGAGGATACTATGAATTTATCTGATATATTCAACCGATCTATTTCTTCGGAAATCTGAATTGCGTCTTTTTAACTATTGGCCGCCAGTTTTATACGAATCAATTCTAATAATTATGCTAACCACCGAGCCAACTTATGATATGGTGAGTTAACCATAAAGATTATAGGTCTTAACGAGATGTTGGATTTGTGTACTTTAAGGAGACCATATACTAAAGGCAGTCGTGATCATTTTGCCATCAGATTGTTGTAAGGTGAATTATCAATGAGTTTCTTCTTTAAAAGTTCCTACAGATGTTTATTGACTCTGTTCCAGATTGTTGCAATGGTATCTCCTCTAGATATGTCGATTTGGAATCATGATTTAGCGTTGAGAATTTGGAACATTTTATGCACATGATCTATTCGGTTAATTATTACAACACCAGGACACTTATTTGGTCATATTATAATGATCTTATTATTCACTTGTTAATTCGTCAGTGTTGATATATGTTCCTTCGTCGAATGTTTTGAATGTGCAGTTGCGGAAATACAGTACTGATTTGCAATACCAACCAGTTTAGATTTAAATCAAACTTTTCTGTCTTCGTCTATAGGTTTTTGCAAACCTAGTTGTTCTTGCTTTATTTAAGTTTATCAAAGGATTTGGTTGTATCAAATACATCGAATTTATGAGAAAATGAGATTAATTATATATTGTATTAGCAATATAATCTGTAAAATACATATATGCTTTACAAAAAACTCAACATTGGTTAGACTAAGAAATTGGATATGCAGAATAAGATAGAGTTTCTATGATAAAAAGAATCCACACACTTGAAAACAATCACTTTGTGTCCGTCAGACTTGAATTGCATAAAAGGTATAAAATTGTTCACTAATGGAAAAATTGTTTCTAATAAAGAACCAGGTGAACAACTTGTAAATTATTCACTAAATTACCAAACATTCACATTGACAAAAGCTATTTTCTCAAAGTTTCACAATGACCAACTTATTTCTATTTACAATGAGTTAGTGTGTTTATTTACTTACAACAGACTATACATATCAACTAATCAATTCTATTTACATTTATTTCGATATAAATGTAAGTATGAACTATTTACTATCAATCGTATATGAAAAGTTCACCAAAAAACGCATATACATTAATTCAAACTAATAAACATATATCTTTGCAAAAAAATATGATCAATGCTTTATGGAATCTTTACAACAATCACAGTGTCTTTATTTTTTTTCCGGTACAAATTCCATTCAAGTTATTCTGTTTATTATTATTATTATTATTGGTGATGATGATGATCATAAATTTAGTAAATATTGTGTTCAAAGTGTTTATCGTCAAGAAGACACATTATTTTAAAAGTGCACTGTTAAATAATTTACATTTTGC